TGTGTGTGTGTGTGTGTGTGTGTGTGTGTGAGAGAGAGAGAGAGAGAGAGAGAGAGAGAGAGAGAGAGAGAACAGACCATCAGTTTGCTGAAGCTCTTTTATTAGCCAATTATATTTAAATTACTCTAGAATACTCTTCGTATTATTCTGCTGTTTTGTGACTTTGGTCAGAGGCCTTGGATTCTATAATGTATCTGTTTACCCTGATCGTTCTCTGTTTTCCTTTCCTTCTGTCCTGTGATCCTTGATGTAAAATGTAAAATCTCCAACCTACACAGAGACTCTAATAGCCAAGTTCACCCAAGGTTAGTAGATGATTTCGGCATTATAGAGAAGCGGAGACTTTTGGCATTCAATCGTGAGGACGTGAGGTGGTGGCTGACCTTGGCTGTGGGCCTTTGGGAAGGTTCTTTTTCTGCTGTTCTAGAAAACAAAAAATCCCTACTCCTGGCTGGACAGATGGCTCAGTGGGTGAACTGGTTGCTGTGCATGCGTGAGGACCAGAGTTCAAGTTCCCAGAACCCAGATAATGCCGGGTGCGGTAGCTTGTCTGTAATCCCAATAATCCCGAGCTTCTCTGGCAAGATGAAGCCAGAAGAATACCTGTCCTCTGCATGGGGGGTAGTGACAGCTAGTCTTGCACCTACAGCTGTGAATGATGAGTGATGAGGAGACCTTGTTTCAAACAAAGCTGAAGGCGAGGACCGACAACTGAAGTTTTCCTCCGAACTACCTATGTGTGCCATGGCATGTGTGTTCCAGCGTTCACATACATGAACACACACACACACACACACACACACACACACACACACCTGCAGAAGTTTCTGTAAAGCATGACATGAAGGCGCAGGACCTTGCACACACACACACACACACACACACACACACACACACACACACACACGTCTTGTACAGAGGATCTTGCAGGATGCCAGGCTCACAAGTACCGCATGAGTGTGTGTCCCCTTCCTTGTTTCTCTAATGTCTCACTTTAAGAACTTAGAATTGAAGTCCTGTTTGCAGTATTTCCCAGCACAACTGTTCTTCATATACCAGAACTGTTTTGTACCAAGTGCGCTGTTCAAACTGAAGAATTAATTCCAAACTTCTCTTCTTGTGATGGTGTCTAGGCTTTGACATTTGTTATCCAGCCACCACCTGGTCTAATCATTAGTCTGTGGAGACCTAATAGGGAGAAAAGTGTACTAACAGCACCACTTCTCCATCATCGATAGATTCCATGAGGCGTTCGGTCAGCTGCCCTCGGTCCATCTCTGCTCACTTACCTTCCAGTGGGGACGCGCGCCCCTTTTCTTCTCAACAAGTGATACCATTAGCGCGACCAACGTCAGCATCTCGGTCACATTCCTTAAACCGTGCTTCCCCCTACATGAGACACCTGCCTAACAGTAACGATGCCAGCTCTACCAACTCCGTGGTGGTAAGCTATCGATTGGTTGCGCCCTTTCAAGGTTGCAGAAAACACCATATTCAGAATGTAGGTGACAAAGGGATCAGCTGAGGGGATGACGAGTGGAATCCCTGACCCCTTCAACATTTCAACTCATGACCTTTGGAAACTGCATTGTTCACATATCCTAGACCCCAGTTTAGTGTGGACCCCTAAAAGGCAAGCTTCACCATGTCACAGACCTCAAGGACAGATAGGAAGAAGCATTGCTTTATTTTCCATTTCCTGATGCAGGAGAGTAATATTGTTTTTACCATTGGGAACATCAGTGTTAATGAAACAGAGAGTTTAAATAAATCTCTGGTCTAGCTCCAGGAAAATATAATAAAGCCACAGACTTTCTCAATTGTAAGTTTCTACAGTTTATGCTGAAAAGGGGATGCGATGTTAATTTAGTACACCAGAAAGCATTCTAAACATCACTGTACCTAGGCTCTATAAGTAGAATTTATCAGTATTTAAACTATTCATCTAGATTCTTAAGATATATTTTCCATACAATAAATGTGCTTGTCTATAGATGACATTAAAACACTGTAAAACCAAGCCTTTTTAAAATACTCATATTTAGTATTTATATCTTGAGCAAGATAAAATATGAGGAGAAAATATAAAAAATACCTTTGCAAATAATAACCAATTTAATGCTAAAAATTTGCAAATGTCCAATTTAAAAAATTAAAAGTGCATAATTTTTACTTAGAAATATCTTTTAAATTATACTGGCACAATGAAGTAAGACCCCCTCCACATATCTGTATTCTTTCAAATTTAAGAATGAGTCTTTGCGGCAATTGAAAACAAAAGAACAGGAAGATGACCTCACAAGTCAGACCTTGTTTGTTCTCAAAGACATGAGGATCCGCTTTCCAGGGAAGTCAGACGCAGAGTCAGAGCTTCTGATAGAAGATGTGAGTATCCGATGCCTATACATTCCAAAGAGCATGAAAATGTATTTCCTGGGGCTGGGGAGATGGTATCTGCTGTTAAAGTGCTTGCTGGGATGAGGTCTTGAGCTGGATCCCCAGCATGTACATAAGAACCTGGCATGGTGGCAAACACCTGTAATCTCAGCCCTGGGAAGCAGAAGGCAGAGACAGGGGGATTCCTGGGATTTCATGGCAGCTACCCCAGGGTACCTGGTGAGCTCCAGGTCCCAGTGAGAGATTGGATGTCACAAACTCAAGATAGCTGCTACTTGAGGAAAGGCATCTGAGACTGGCCTCTGCCACCCACGGGTGTGCATGTGCATGCCAAGCATGGACACACTTCAGCATACATGTGCACTGGACACATGACTCCCATACATCTACACAAAAATGTATTATCTGATCGAATTGTACTTAACTACATAGGAAATGTAACCGATGTTCCTTTTAGTCCCCAGAAACTTTATAAAATAGAAGAATTCATTTTAGTTATTGGGAACATTTTGTCGTATAGTAAGGCTGTCAAGTGAGAATAATTAACATCAAATAATAACTGTTCTTCATGATCAAATATAAGGATAAACTTTTCTATATAAAAGCTTGCTAAGTTGCAGAAGTCTAAGGTGAGAAGAAATATGATGATGATAGTCGCACCCTGGTAGGTGGTGCCAGAAATACCAAGCATTGAAACAGTCTGGCTGAGTTATTTTCACTTCCGCCACCCAGTGGAGACTTTGGAAACGGCAGGGGTTTAGAGCCTCAGCTCCTAGCTTAGAAAGAAATCCGAGGGTACTGAAACGGTTTTGGTGGAAGAACAGTTTTTCACTCAAGGTTTCTCTTGTCCATCCAACATACGTTCTAAACGGCCATTCTTAGATCATTCATCAGCCAGAGAACGCTGTTTGGAGTAGGGTGTGATCTTTTTTTTTCTTCTTCCCCAGAAGACATGGCACCATCTAGTGGTCATATGAAGAATAAAAACCGCAGCTTGCACTGGGTCCTTTGCAGTTTGCATGGCTTTGTGAAGCAAGTGTATATAGAAACAACAGCAAAACAAGAAAAGGTTTTCTTGCTGAAAAAATCCATAAGGGCATCGTAATTTTGTTATTAGATAAATATAGCGGAAGTATCCAAATGTTTTGCATTTTGGTGATAATGGTTTTTCAAAAAGTGGGAGCAGTATGTTGTTCGTGGGAGAGCTACTCCTAGTTACAGCAAAAGAAACTTGAGGTTGAGTATAAGGCGTTGTGCTAGATATGTTCTACAGGTTTAAATTACACTTACTTCTTGTTCTTGTGTGCATGTGTGTGAGTGGACGCATGCCATGGTGTACATGTGGAGGCCAGAAGACAACTCTGAGAGAGTCAGTTGTCTCCTACCATCACGCATGCCCCAGGGACTGAATTCCAGTGATCACGCGTAGCATCAGGCATTTGCCCGCCGCACTGCATCTCCAGCTGGATAAGCTTTGACATATCTTGATAGTGTTTATTTCTAAGAAAAGGCAGTAACTTTGCCCAGATACATTGTTTTCTGTCTGTTTTTGTGATCTATTTTCTTTTAAAATTCATTCATTTTATTTGTATGAGTATTTTGCTTCCATGTATCTATGTGCACCACCTGCATGCCCACTTCCCAGTGGTCAAAGGAGGCACCAGATGCCCTAGAACAGGAGTTACAATTATGTGCTACCAAATGGGTGCTGAGAATTAAACCCAGGTCCTCCTCAAGAAGAGCAAGTGCTCTAACCACTGGGCTGTCACTGCAGCCCCGTTAAGGTTTATTTTTTTTTTAATTAGAAAATGAGAGAGTAGACGTAATATTTGTGACTAATGTGATTCTCCTATAAAGAAGATTGTTAGGCTTATACAATTAATGAAACATAATTAATAATTAGTACAGGTACTAGATTCTTTGCTGTATGTCTACTGTTTTCCAGACTTGAATGTTTGCTGCAATATATATTACTAGAATATATATGGAGAAGTTATATAGATATACAGGTAATTCAAAGAAATGGTTAGTAGAATCCTAACTGACTGTAGGCTGACTTTTAATGTATTCTTTAATATTCTATTACTATGTGGGTAACATGGCAAGATGAAAAAAAATCTATGGGTTGGATTTCTACTTAAAATGTGTGTGTCTACAGATTTCTGACTTTTATTCATTGAGTGATATTATTCTTAGTGAAGAGGGAGAAACAGCTTTGAATTTAGAACCCCTGGCTTGCTTAAGTCTTTGCAGGTATCTTTTTTATGAATGGTGGAGTTTTTATTATAAGTAGTCTCCGGGTGCTTTCACTGCACAAATTAATAGAATCTTCACTAACACATCAATCTACTGCTTTTGGTGAGCATTCTGGATTACATTTGTTAACCTCTCTTCCTCCACAGATCATGGATAACTGGAAGCATTATAAAACAAAAGTGGCTTCATATTGGCTCATAAAACTGGACTCCACAAAACAACGCAAAGTGAGTGGCCCCCAAAGATCGCTTCGCCCTTCGTGTGTCCCTGAAGCTAAAATGCTTAGTCACATGCACCACAATGTCATGTGGGAACATGTATTTGCTTGTGTCTTCAACAATGCTGTGTTGGACAAGGATTTAGATCATGGGGATAAAAAGCAAATTGAGGACAACAGTTTAGCTGTGCAGAAGTCTGTGCATCAGTGCGCCAACAGAGAGGGGAGCAGAAACAAAGATCACGGAGTGGAAATCAGTCTGATGTGCATATTTTCTTATTAACTTATACATATGATAGTGTAATTACCACAGAGGCAATTTTCTTATCAACTTATACAGATGATAGTTTAATTACCTTGTAAAGTCAATTCACTTTTGTTGGAAAAGTGCTGCAGCAGTGGTCAGGGGTGAGTTTGGATGGTGAGGCAGAGCTGAGAGACAGATGGACCAGGCAGGGTTCAGTTTTGCATGTGGGGAGCCACTGGAAAAGCTCGAGGAAACATTTGCCGTCTGATTAGTAGTTTTAAAGGACTGAGAACTGCTTGAGGGGAGTAAAATAGAGGCAGGGAGAATGTGGCATGATCAGAGTAGAAAATGTCAGAAGGCTTCCAGGGTACCCGAGGCAAGAGCGAGAGAGTAGTCGGCCGCAGTGGTGATAGAATGGTGGGTTCTGTCGCTTGTTGTGTGGGTCTGAAAGTATTTAATTTTATTTTGTGTGTGCTTGAGTCTATATTTGTGCACCACACACATCCAGGGCCCCAGAGAGGTCAGAAGCTTGGTCTTAGTCCCTGAAACTGAAGTTACAGTCACCTGTGAACCTCCATGTGGGTGCTAGGAACCGATCCTGGGTCCTCTGCAAGAACAAGTGCTCGGAACCACTGAGCCACCTCTCCAGCCCCTTGTTTGGCTGTGTTTTGATCTTGGATATGTTATGTCGATGTGCTGATTAGATATCTAAGCGATTGTATATGTGTTATAAGTGATGTACGTATGAGTTTGAGAGCAGAGCTGAGGTTGAGCATGGAGATAAGAAAAATTAAGAGTCTGTAAGGTGTTTAAAGGAATGGGGCTGGATGGGACCACATAGAGAGTTTGTTAGAAAAGGCAGCAGTCTTCCGGGACTGAACTGACCCCAGTGTAGCAGCGTGAAAAACAGTAAGAGCTGAGTGTCCCTGAGGCCAAGGGAAGTCTCCTAACAACAGACTAATAGGCTATAGGCCATGTTGGAAAACGCTGCTAGGGGTTTACCATCAAGCTGTCTGTCATTTCGGGCAAACATGGGGGTTAGTGGTGACCACAAATTTCGAGGAGTGGTGGGGAGCAAAACCTTAATTATTTAATTATTTTTTTTCTAATTATTGAATCTTGAAGAGGGAAGATGAGCTGTAGCTGGTGCAGACGGTTTTCTGAGAGGGGAAAGGTCAAGAGGAAATGGAGGCAGTGAGCAGAGAGTTTCGGACTAGAGAGGGCTGTGCTTCTGCCTTAAAGATGAAGACTCTTTGCAGTTGTGTGTTGATGAACTGATGACAGTGGCCTGGGAGAAGGACTGCCAGAGAGGTTTGGTCTGGCCAAGAGCAGTGATTGTAATCAGAGGGAAGACAAAGGAAGGTCTCAGAGTGTGATGGAAAAAGTGAGATCTGCGGAGAGAGCCAAAGGCATGTAACAGCAGCCAAGAGGAGTGGAGGGCAGGTATTTTATCACAGCAACCAAAGGTAACTAATACAATGATGTTGAAACAATTGGCTATTTTACAAGAAAATAAAGGAGCTTATTTCTTATCATTCACAAAATAAATTCCATGTAGGTTACAGTTTGATATATAACATAGAAGAACATCAGGACCAAAGGAAATGCAGAAAGATGATTGTAAGTCATAGAGTGGGGAAACGCAGGGAGATTGTTGGGAGTCCCAGCCCAGTCTGGGTAATAATGTGAAACCATATCTCAAAAAGAAAAAAAAATCAAAACCAAAGAAAAACATACAAATGGAAAAAGGCATCTTAAATCAAATTAAAGAGTGAGGGTGTTGAGCGGGCAGGGGTGGTTTGAGAGAGATAGATATTTAGTGCACATAAAATGAGAGATAACAGCGATAAACCAATGATTCTTGCCAATCAATCAGCCAAAGACAAACCAGTCTACAAAAGTAACATGGCCAAGTGCATAAAAAGGCTATGTAAAGACAATTTAATGGATCTTCAGACAGCCAATTAGCATGTAAATAGATCCTTGGCATCACTAATGATGAAGCAATAGCACAGGGAAGCTATCATATTGGCCAAAATTAGTAAGATGGATAATACACACCAGTACCAGTGGGACTAGCATGGCCAAGAGGGCCTTTGCCCTCCGAAGACAGTACAGTGGTCTAAGCCTTGTGACTCCGCAAAATAATTTCTTGCCTTGTGTCCTGTAGAGTTTCATCCAGAATAATAGGAAAGGTTTCCATATGTCAACATTTGTAACAGTGATATTTAGAAAAGCCAAATGCCAGAAGCAGCTTGAGTGGCCCACAGTTTATGGTTAAAAAAGACCTGGTACATCCATGGAGTTTAGTTGCATTTGATTGAAGACTATTCTAGAATCATATATGAGTAGAATATAGAATTCAAGCCTGTGACTTAAAACTGGTGGAACACACAGTAAAAGAACAGAGACATTCTTTGTCATGGGGGATGGGCACAGCAAGCAGATGCAGCGCAGGGTCTCTGGGAGGCTGATGCCCTCTGCCGTCTGGTCCTCCTTCTGAAATAGCTGGAGACATTATGGGTTCAGCGTAACCACTGGACCATGTTCGTGTTGGAACAGAGGGAGCCTTTGGATTGGGGTGGCCTTCATTTCTCGTCTCAGTTTCACCCATGCATCCTGAATGGTGAGCTCCAATATTAGCAGCCAAGCGAGATAATAATTCCAGGCCGATAGTTTGTGAGTTCAGCTCCTAGGAGCTTTCTGCAGGGGTGGGAAAGGTCTGTGTCTGATGTTGTCTTCTAAATGGTTTTAGACAAAAGAAAATTATTTGTTATCTTCTCACTTATGAATTTAGAAGGGCTGTGAGAGGACCCAGTGAAGTTTCCTTTTGATACTGTCCTAAAAAGATACCCTATATTGAAGAAATATGTTACAAGTAATACACATTGTACCATTTTAATCTACTAATGAGTGTATTATTCCAAAATTAACCAGTCTATCTGTCTGTCTCTATCTGGCAGTAGCTTTTTTTTTTTTTTAAAGCAACCATGTAGTGGCATGCCCTGTCCTCCCAACATTGAGGAGGAAAAGGCAGCTGAACCATGCATGCAAGGTCAGCCTTGTGTACACAGCAAGCTCCAGGCTAGCCAAGATTACGTAGTGAGATCCCATTTCAAGAAATCCCCTTTTGTTTGGACTCTGTGCCAAATTATAACTCATTTCTAGAGGATAGCTTAACTGAACCAAGAGAAGGGAAGTGATGCTATTCACTGTCATTTCTCCTTTTTCTTTTATGTATTTTTTATATTTTTCAAGATACAATGATCTTTTTACAAGTGAAGGGATGGCTGGGAGAGATGGACATGTCTGTGGGAAGCAGGTTGGTTAAATATCAGGATGCGGGTTGGCTCCATGTCCTAAGGAAGTAAGGAAAGGAGATGGAACTGGACTTTGAGTCCAGGCCTTTAATCTCAGCTACTGGGGCAGGAGAGTCACAAGTTCAAGTCCAATCTAAGCTTTGGAGTGAGTTCAAAGCTAACCTGGGTAATTTAGTAAAGAACCTACCTCAAAATAAATACAGAATGGGCCGTGGAACATAGCTGAGATACTTGCCTGGCATGTGCACCAAGTCCTGGTTCAATCCCTGGTACCACAAGCAAACAAACAAATGAAAGAAAAGAAAATAGAAAATTGGAAGTTAGAAAAAAAAAGGGGTGATAAAGACTTCTGACTCCCAGCACCTTCCTGCTACCCCAATACACCATTCTTCAGGACACCCCTTTATGTCTTTTTCATGTCACCTATCTGATCCCCCAAAACCAGAGATTGTCTTTCCCTGTTTGACATTTCAGGGCATTTGTGCTTGTCTTCTATGCACTGTGAGAGATTTATGAATTTTAAAGAACGCTTTAAGCCTAAGGTCCTATCAGCCTCCTGCCTGAGGTCCCTGGGTTCTACCTGGAGGGACTGCGCAGGACAGGAAAACTGCTAGTGCTGGTCGGTCCTGCAAAGTGCCACAGCCCTAGGGAGGGATGAGTGGGTCGTGAGATTTACTGCTTCAGTGCTTTAGAGGCCGGGGGTACATGGGCCTAGGCCCTCAGTTTGGAGGCCTATGCCTCTGGGCTCTAACCACCTGTGGACTGGCACTCGGCAGCATTTGTAATCCTCAGTTTTGAGCATCACTGCCTGTCCTGCTTCTCTAGCCCTAGTGTGTCAAGGAGAGATGGTTCCCTCTAATCTGTCTCTGAGTGAGTAAGTCTCCCTGGGAGTCACTGGCAGATTTGTGATCCACGTTTGTTAAGGCAGTTCAATTCTAGACTCAGTTTTTGAGTTTTCTTGCCAGCAAGCTAGCATCTGTCTATATCCTCCTTCCTTAGTTACTTGGTATTTATGTGAAAGCAGCAACACATGAAATGGTGCTTCGTGTTTTGTATGTGATGCTAGAATGCCTGGTAAATATAGGATGAGCATACGCTGTACCTGGATAGTATACAGTCTGTGAGTAGAAAGGATTATTCCACATATTTAAGGGTCGTGCTTACTGGGATTTGAAATTTTAAAGTAAATATAAGCTCTTGCTTATGAATTTACTAGCACATGCGTATGCCATGACATCATCTCCCTCGTGGCAATTTACGGTAAGAATACTTGTGTGCTCTTCAGCTATGAGTTGCTTGGAGGCTATTCTTGGGAATGAAAAGTCTGTACAGAACCAATGTGAGGTCCAGGATCTTCATTTTCAATTTATACATCTTTTACCCCCTTTTTGAGCTCCCACTTCGCTTCTTCCTTTGGCCAAATACCATCTGAAGGTATTGTATTTCCTGTGTGCTTTAAGACATAATAAGAAACCCATTCCCTGCAAAAGCCTGCTAATAATGTCTCATAGTTCGTGCTAGCTCAACAGTTATAATCGTTCTACTACATGGCTAATTTAATAGACAATTCTATTCTGGGCTGAAGAATTCATGTCTTGGATTTTGGCACTCAAAGAATAAAAAGAGCTGATATTAATTAGAGAAAAATTGATCTTGCCAAGAGGCCCCTGGATGTGGTTGAGAACTACTTGACAGAGGCTCTGAGCAGACAAGAGGCACTGGAATCCCACACGTGCGCTCCTTTCCAGCAGTTTTTCTTGCTGTGGTCATGGTTACAGCAACCCTCTTTTCTTTCTTCACCTATTCTGTTCTTGGAGAGGCTTTCTTCTGACAGACTCAGCTTCCTCAGATTGGCGAGGGGTGAGGCCACCTGGGAAGAGCAGCGGGAAAGGGCTCTCAGCAGCTGTCATTCCGTGATGGCATTCTTCTACTGCAGGACTGCTTTCAGCGATCTCTCCCATACGTCTTCATTTTACACCAAGTTCTAAATTGTGTAGAACTTTACATCCTTGTAAAAGTAACTGTGCCGGATTGATAGCTCTTCCCCCAATATCGGTGAAAAGAAGCATGGACGAACACACCCACGAACACACTTTATCACAGCAGCCAACAAGGGAGGCACTGAGTTTCATTGTAAACAAAGATTTATTGTTTTAATTAAAATTTTAAACATTTTTTCTGCTTAATCCTGAGTATGGAAATTAATTACCTGAAATGTCTAAAAGTTACCCCAGGCAGGAATAAAAGTGTTGAATTATCATGTTAAGGATCATTAGGACACATAACATGACTGATTTCTCTATATTATAAATTCGGTATATAAATAATTTTTCTCCATCTTGTCTCTATTGCAAGTTTATTTCCGACGACATCAGAAGTGGAATGAGTAACAAATGACTGACTAAACTATGTCCTTTTGATAAGGAGAGAGCTAATATAACAAGCCAAAGTGCATTGAAAAGAAAGCTTTATATGGAGAATGAGTGTCAGTGTCAGGAGGTGGAAAGAGACCCTGGGCTTAGGAAAGTATGAATTTGGGTTTGCTATGCTCATATTCTTACTCCTGAGTGGCTTATTAGACCTTCTCTGAGATTTGTAGCTCTAGGCACTGGACAGTTCTTGTGAGAAAGTGAAACTCTGTATGCACTTGAACTTTGTGTATGGAATTCTGTATTGAATGTTATGGCCTGTTGACTTACCATATTGATCTGAGTCTAATCTGGTGTTATTTCCTTATAAAGCTAGAAAATATATCCAAGACAAGAAGAAATACAGAAATGTAAGTCAGCTATGGAATGTACAGTCAGATATTATAAAATGTTACCCATTTAGAAAACCAAAGGTTTAATTAACATATTAGAATTGGATTAATCAGATGCATCATTCTTTCAGCTGTGATAATAGTCAATCATCACTGGAGAGCTCTGCCACTTTATTCCACCGGGAGGCAGTTGCTAAGCAGGGATAATTAGAAGTGAAGGAGGTTTCCATGGGGAACACCTAAGATGATAATGTGGAGGGATCTGAAGGAGGCGGGGGTCGGGTGGGGGAGAGGAACGGGAGAGGACTTGGGCGGCAGCACAGGTCAGACGCATGTGAACGAAAGTGGCTAGATCAGATGGAAATGGTCTCCGACTTAAGATCATCTTAAGAAAGTTTTGGCCGGGCTGATGGAGAGGGTAGACAAAAACTGCATGGTGGAGGGTTGGCTCTGGGCAGGAGGGCAGGGCTGTGTCCCAGCCATGCTCAGTTCTTGGCGGGGAGCAGCCTAGGTAGCACATAGGCAGTAGCTGACTACTATTACTGAATGGTTCTGAATGGGAAAGCATCAGATGACCCAACTCTTTAAACCAGGTTTCTCGGAGTTGCCTGCAGCCATGGCTGTCACCCAGGTTATGTGTTATTTGATTTAACTTGACAAACATTCATTGATTGCCAGTTTTGTCTGTGAACTCTGCTAGGTGCTGTTGGGGCTGTGAAAATTCACTCATTTTCTCATTTCTGCATGAATTCTGAAGATACTGTTTGGCACATCCTAAGTATTTGTACTTCCCTTGTGAGGCCACTGTTGAAATACATATTTATCTCACTTTTTCAGTTGCAGGACAGTGACATTGTTAATGGTTCATTAGAGTGCTGTGAAATTCAGAACTTCGCTTGTCAGACACAGAGACTCCCACACGCTTTCCCGTGTGTGTGTGTGTGTGTGTGTGTGTGTGTGTGTGTGTGTGTTTGTACATGTGTGCACATGTATGTATTTTCTTGGAAAATGAAGTTACTTGCCTTTCTTCACATTTTCCTTAATGGGTATAAAATATAAATAGAATTCCTGGAGCTCAGTGGGCGGGGAGTCCTCTGGCTGGAGATGGGAAGAGTTAGTCTTACTTAACATCAGGTTGTGGCAAACCTGCAGTTATGCAGCCTAGCTTTCTGCCCAGAGCTGTGCCGCGGACATTCTGTAAGGAA